TTTGCTAACATTCTACATATTTTACTCATTTATAGTTAAATATACATAAATCTATTTTAAAAGCTATTCTTGAATAGCGTAGAGATCCACTCAGTCGTTTTATTCTGATTATCTTTTTTTTTCTCATTCCAGATAGTAGCCATTTTTCTTTTCTTTTCTTTTTTCAATCACTCAAGCAATACTTTGACAATATTTCTTTGTCTATTTTTTTTCCTTTTCCCTTCATCTACGGGTTTTCCTCTCTCATTTTCACCTCCCCATCGCCGTTTCCCTAGAGTCTTCTCGGTTCTCTTCCATTCTTCACTATTAGACATCGCGTCTAGGCTAATATATAATTAATCGAGAAACAAAAATTAAGCAGGGAAAAGAGGAAAAAAAAAACATATAATAGATATAAATAATCGTGATGATTCCCAGATATCAATTACCCAGTTAACGACTGGAGAAATGGCATTTTCGGAAATAACCATTAGTCTCGAGTCAAATCGTACCATTCGATCTATCAGTTAAAAAAGTCCAAATTTGTAACCGGTCACGAGCCGCTCCCGTGACCACGATAAGCGTGACTATTTTGGTACACGTGTATCGTCGGCTAAAACGTGACTCAGCGGTGTGTCCACAAACACCGGAATCAAACCTTTAAGTCTACAGTGTACAGTATATCCGAATCCTGTTTGGACAGCCGGTGTGGTCCTATCCAATCCCTAAATTCCCGCCTCCAACAGTCCCCTAGGGGAACTTGTTGGGGGGTTCTTAGGGGAATAACGTACATCTTTTGTCACAAAACTGTCCGATGATGTGAGAGAGAGGAATGGAAAACACATAGGAATTGTTTACTTTACTACTCACAAAGATAGAAGCGGAACGGTGAGAAATGAAAGCAGTCACGACACTTCCAATTCGTGTAAGGAATTTATCTCCTGCAACAAATTACTCTGTAATGACGTTTCGATACGAATGAATAATGATGTTTTGAGTAACCTCGCTGAAGAATGGCTACGAAAACCGTAACAACCAATAGTTATGATTACGTTCTGGTATGATTCCAATTAGAGAATGGCTCTACTACGATATATCTTCTTGATAGCTATAGTTATGATATTCAAGAATTTCCGTCACGATTTCCCGATGAAGACATTAAATTTACTGATAAAATAATTTAAAAAAATGTCTAGAAAATTTTTGCTATGCTGTATCGAACGTGTTTTTTTTTGCATTCATTCAACTTTTTCCAGCCTCTAGAAACCAGTTTGATTAAAAAAAAAGAAAAGAAATTCCGATTTTTATCTATATTTTTACAATGAATGACTCATCCGGCTAACTAAGAATTTATCTTTTTTTCTTTTCTTTTGTTGAACGGAAGTTAGGAAAATATACTGTGTAGGCCTATACAGTCGACCCCCCTATAACACTGCTGATTATTCCGTTTTATATGAATTCCATGTTGTACGAGTCACTTAGATTTTAAAAATACGTGAGCTGTTCACAGCCCGGTACACGTATTTGTAAAATCTAAATGACTCGTACAACATGGAATTCATATAAAACGGAATAATCAACAGTGTTATAGGGGGGNAAAATTTCCTGAAGTTGAAAGTTTTTAATCAGAAAAAATTTACTTGCAAAAAAAAAAAATCGGTTTGTACTTATTAAAATTGTCAAGATAATAATGATTACAATAATCATTTTAAATTTAATTTTATGAATTATTCCACACAAAACAGAAAAATGAATCCTTAGCAATTCGTTATTTTTCTTCTGAAAAAAAAAAAAAAAGGTAATTTTCTGATGGAAAATTATTAATCACTAAATTAGAATGCTAATTTCTTCTCATTCATAAAAATCTATTAAGTATTACTGTAAATTTACAGTATATTTCACTATTAGTTTATATGAGAAATATATTTCACATATAAGAATGTTGATCTTGTATAATTTAATACAAGATCAACATGTAACAGGTTATAATTGAATATGTAGATTTACATTTAATATTTTATTATTTATATTGTCTTTAAAGTGAAGTTCTTTGTAAATTGGATAAACAACTTTTCATTTTATTTTATAATTAATTTGTTTTAAAAATTTGAAAATGTAAATAGTTTTCAAAATAAAATTTAATTTATTCTCGTATTATATATATGCTTAACATATTACAATACATTTTATATATTGTTCAGTGTTTATGTGTATCTCTTTATTATATTAGGTGTGTTTCTATCGATGTATTATGTAATATATAAAGAATAAGAAATATATTTCGTATTAAAAAACAAGGAAAATTCTTCTTTAGTGAATTAGTTCAATATTACAGCAATTTTGTGAACGAGGCATGAGATATTAGCGAATGCACGATATAAAATATGTAAATAACTAATTATTTATTATTATTATTATAGATTCGTATAATATTATACGAATGAAATAAATATTGTTGATATATTAATAAAGAAATATATGCAGTAATACAATAATTTTATAATTAAATTAGTCACTAATGTAATTTAAAACAATATGAAACTTCTTATTCACTTAAAGCTATTATTATTTGCTAACATTCTACATATTTTACTCATTTATAGTTAAATATACATAAATCTATTTTAAAAGCTATTCTTGAATAGCGTAGAGATCCACTCAGTCGTTTTATTCTGATTATCTTTTTTTTTTCTCATTCCAGATAGTAGCCATTTTTCTTTTCTTTTCTTTTTTCAATCACTCAAGCAATACTTTGACAATATTTCTTTGTCTATTTTTTTTCCTTTTCCCTTCATCTACGGGTTTTCCTCTCTCATTTTCACCTCCCCATCGCCGTTTCCCTAGAGTCTTCTCGGTTCTCTTCCATTCTTCACTATTAGACATCGCGTCTAGGCTAATATATAATTAATCGAGAAACAAAAATTAAGCAGGGAAAAGAGAAAAAAAAAACATATAATAGATATAAATAATCGTGATGATTCCCAGATATCAATTACCCAGTTAACGACTGGAGAAATGGCATTTTCGGAAATAACCATTAGTCTCGAGTCAAATCGTACCATTCGATCTATCAGTTAAAAAAGTCCAAATTTGTAACCGGTCACGAGCCGCTCCCGTGACCACGATAAGCGTGACTATTTTGGTACACGTGTATCGTCGGCTAAAACGTGACTCAGCGGTGTGTCCACAAACACCGGAATCAAACCTTTAAGTCTACAGTGTACAGTATATCCGAATCCTGTTTGGACAGCCGGTGTGGTCCTATCCAATCCCTAAATTCCCGCCTCCAACAGTCCCCTAGGGGAACTTGTTGGGGGGTTCTTAGGGGAATAACGTACATCTTTTGTCACAAAACTGTCCGATGATGTGAGAGAGAGGAATGGAAAACACATAGGAATTGTTTACTTTACTACTCACAAAGATAGAAGCGGAACGGTGAGAAATGAAAGCAGTCACGACACTTCCAATTCGTGTAAGGAATTTATCTCCTGCAACAAATTACTCTGTAATGACGTTTCGATACGAATGAATAATGATGTTTTGAGTAACCTCGCTGAAGAATGGCTACGAAAACCGTAACAACCAATAGTTATGATTACGTTCTGGTATGATTCCAATTAGAGAATGGCTCTACTACGATATATCTTCTTGATAGCTATAGTTATGATATTCAAGAATTTCCGTCACGATTTCCCGATGAAGACATTAAATTTACTGATAAAATAATTTAAAAAAATGTCTAGAAAATTTTTGCTATGCTGTATCGAACGTGTTTTTTTTTGCATTCATTCAACTTTTTCCAGCCTCTAGAAACCAGTTTGATTAAAAAAAAAGAAAAGAAATTCCGATTTTTATCTATATTTTTACAATGAATGACTCATCCGGCTAACTAAGAATTTATCTTTTTTTCTTTTCTTTTGTTGAACGGAAGTTAGGAAAATATACTGTGTAGGCCTATACAGTCGACCCCCCTATAACACTGCTGATTATTCCGTTTTATATGAATTCCATGTTGTACGAGTCACTTAGATTTTACAAATACGTGAGCTGTTCACAGCCCGGTACACGTATTTGTAAAATCTAAATGACTCGTACAACATGGAATTCATATAAAACGGAATAATCAACAGTGTTATAGAGGGGTCGACTGTATTTAAATACATATGCATGTATATATATATATTTATTTAAAACTCGCTACACTTTTTCGAATATATATATATTTATATTTTCTTTCTCTCGATACTCCTCAATTTTTATAAACTTAATCTAGAACAAATCAAAAAATAAATATAAAACCTATTTCAATTGAAGGTTTTGGAAAGCGTAATTCTCACGAAGTGGGGAAGATATGTCGTTGCTATAGTAACAGCACTGGCAGGATTTCAGGAGTATGAACGGGGAGAAGATTTGGTTGGATGCGAATTACAGGAGGACAGCTTAAGTCCCATGATGAGTCGCTCAAGACGGAAGGAAAATAATTGAAAACACAGCGCCAAATTATTTTCTTTTTCTATTTCCTCCCCCAAAAATTCAACTCAGTCGATTGAAAGTTTATTTGCATTCGCAGTTCTCTGATTGGAATAATATTCGGGCGCTTGATTTTTGATTTAGATAAGTTCTTTCCGATCAAAGTTTTATCTAAATAGAAGTTTGTAATTTTTCTTTCGTTTTTCAATTCGAATAAATATAGATGTTTTGTTAATTCCAGTCAATCATAACGTATCGTGATTCATCTAACGAGGCAGCTCTAATAAATAGATCTATGATAGATCTTCTTTTGTAACTTAGCTAATGAATCATTCATTAGTAAGTACTATGTCCATAAGGATGGATTATTAGACAGGCAGAGATCACGAACCTTCAAAAATAATAATTAGGCCCTAAAGGCTATCATGCAAATCTTTGTTATTAGTTATGGAAAATAATATATATATATTTTTTCTTGCCTTTGAAATTTTTTGAAAATGAACTTTTATAAAAAAAAGGAAAGATAATTTATACTTTTTCTTTTGTTTCAGATATTTTCTTATCAAACATCATGGATCCTGAGGCAGTGGCTCACGTCGATCTCAGTCCATATTGGGATGTAGATAGTAGAGACTATGATAACTGCGAATGTCCCGGGCCGCCACCACCGCCGCAGTTTGTCATTCCCCCTCCTCCCCCTCCTCCATCTCTTCAGCTATGCAGAGGTGGAGACGATTCCGATGTTCAGTACTGTCATCTGGAACCGGTCGGTTCTGGTTATACTCAAGCACTTTTTCCATCCCTACCAGTTATAGCCGTCTGTTCATCAGTCTTCGTCGTGGCTCTCTTAGTTGCATCCTTCATCTTCTGGAAGTAAGTATGGCCATTAGACCTTTTCTTTACCTATTTTTATTAAACTTTGTTCAAACTGTTTCGATCTTAAACATATTTTGCCATTCTTACTTTTCAATGATATGAAGTAATACAAAAACTTATTAAGTAGCCAAAATAATTTAATAAATACATTATTTTGAGTAATTTTTTTCCTTCCAATAATAATTTATAAGTTTGGTGAGTTGTTGTAGAAAAAAAATCGATTTATCGATTACTTTTATCAAATATCTCTAAGCAATAAGCTTACCGAAACCATCAATTTTCTGCAAAATTTAATTCTAACCTAGAGAAAAAAAAAGAACCTTAAATTAAAGCCATGACGTTTTAGAGCCATTAGAGCAATTCGGACGCCATCTTGTTTATTGTCCATTAGTGGGCCGGTGTTTTTTACGAGTTGGCCGCTCGTTTCGGACAATTGATGTCGGCTTAGGTGCATAATTTGTCTAAGATTGTCTTTAAATTGTTCCCAGATGAATTGCTGCAAATTAGCAAAAGTCCCTTTCCTCTCTTTTCCTTTCTTTTTTTTATTCCTACTAGTTCTCGGAAGTTGTAAACATTCCAAGACTCCACTTCCATCCCTACTCTTACTCATTCCCACGGTTCTTCGACCTTTATTGTAGTATTGCCTTTCCTGGTCAGTCGGCACACAATCTAGAACCCCCCCTGAAAATCAAACCGAATCTAAAATATAAAGCGATCTAAATTAAAAATGTCCGAAGGGCATTGTAAACTTTCGCACAAGCTCTAGCACACACACGGACTTAATCCCTAATAAGCATAAAAACGCATTTACAGTACGGATTACTCAGAGGCATTGTACAGGACTCCATTAGCAAGTACAATCTGGCCAAGCAGAGATCACAAATCCAAAGACTAGATTTATATCGAACATCTCTCTCCAGCGAAAAAAAAACTTCACAGGGAAGAGATTAAGGCTGTCAAAATAATCTGGTCCTGGCGGAGAGTATAAATTCGTCGCCATTGTCTTCGCACGCGTCGCACGCCTCCCGGTGACAATGGCTACGCGATCGATGGAGTCACGTGGTTTGCAAGGTGGCCGCTTTGATTTATCGGGAGTCCAATTAAAACATCGGTTGCCTTAGAGCCGAGCTCTAGTTTTAATGAAGCCAATGTGGGTTTGCCTTGTAACTTCCTCAGATTAACTACAGAAAGGGGTTACTGAAACTCGGGAATCGATTAAATACCCGGCTGTGTATATGAATGAAGAGTGGAAAGGTATCGCTGCTAGAAGGTTAATTACATTGAGAAGTACAGTTTAGAGATGAATTGATAAAGGATGTCTGTCTGATTCCGGAACTACAGATGCTGTCTGTCTAGCGTGCCACGAGAGATTGACATCGGGGCCGTCTTTGATTCCGTTCTCTCAGATGCTGCAGGGGGAATTGTGTTGAGATGATATAACTCTTCTAATAGGGAACTTATCTCGTGTCTTGTTTTATCTGATACACTCTCCTTTTTTTTTTAAGGTTAATAAAATTAAAAAGAAGATCAATGCCAAAATTTCTAACAGAATCCTCGGTTTCTTAAAGTGATTTATTCATTCGTTATAGTTTCCGTTCTTTGCAAGATAGGAGAAGAAATAAAATATGAAGTGGAATTAAGAAGCGATATTTTATAGTTTGATAGAGGATAGATTTTTATTCCTTAAGGATAATTATGGTGGATCCTGGAAAGCACAACTCGGACCACCCACGTTCTTGTTTTTCACTGCAATCGGTGGATGTCGTTAAGTTTCCCCCAACACACATTGAACTCGTTTTCCTGCTTTTATTTTTGTCTTCCGTGCTCGAAAATGGGATGTTTGGATTTAGTAGCACTTTACTGGGAAATATGGGATGGTTAAAATATAAACAATTGCAAAAACTTTGTAGTTTTTTTTGCAAATGCATTTGCTACATCCGAGATTATATGGGATTATTTCCTGAAAATGCTGGTAGATTTATAACAGTATAAAAATCTAAATCGTTTGGATAGATTGTATATTATTACCAGAGTTTAAAGTTTCATTTATTTAGAAAAGCTTAATAATCTTATATCAACAGAAAATTCAAAGAATTTTTTTAGAAATTTTCTGAAGAACGAGATCGATCTAAACTCTTCGTCTCTACAAAATATATTTTTTAAACCAGAAAATGGCAGCGAAATATTTGTGAAACTTATTCTTAATAGAAGAAATATATATATATTTCTTTAACTGTTTAAAATTTTTCACGATCTTATATTGTGTTTCTATATGCACCGTATAAGATAGAAAACGAAGAAAAGAATGGCAGTGGCTGTTTCCAGAGGGAAAACTGTCTCCACATGATTATTAGTAGAGATGAAGGTCGACTGGTTAGACTCTTACCTTACTCTCAATAAGATGGATTTGATTGCAGTAGCCCCTTAATCTACATCATTTCTTTTACCCCGCACCCGGTCATTCAGGAACTATCATTGCTTTTTAGTACCGGATATTCCTGCCTCGAGCGTATTTTAAGAACACGATATATATTCTACAAGAGGAAAAATCAATGGATTTCGTTAAAAAGTTATCGATAGAAAACGGAGAAGAGTGAGGAAAATAACAAGTTCAACGTACACTTGTGGGATTTTTTTTTTAACCACTAAAATTTTAATAAAATGGTAGATACTCGAAGATAGGTTATTAAATGATAAGATAGTTCTGTAGCCTCCGAGAATCAGAAATAATTTCTAATGCTTTGCCAATTTTCGCATTGTAACTGAATCGAAACATAAAATCGATTAGGATCATTAAAATATTCTAATCCATTAGACGAAAATTCGTGTCACGAATCACCATTATATTCATTCCACTTTATATATTTTGAAACGTAGAACTGTAAAAAGCGAGACGACTGGATTCGTAACAGTTCTCTTTTATTTTCTACAGTAAGGAGGGTGCAACAAACACATTCCTAATGGAGTTAAAGTGGTCATAAATCCGTGCTTCGAGTACATTAGAATTAAAAGAAGGGATATAAAGTGTCTTGGTGTGGTTGGTGAATAAGAAATACATCTTCATTTACTTGTAGATGCAGGTAGTAGTAGTTACAAATTATTAGAACATGAGCAGGTGTCTTAGAATAAAACTATAGGCCTCCCTAATTGAAATTCACCTGGTAGAAAACTGTGTTAAGCAATCGTTTATATTATACAAGCTAATATTTAAGAGTTAAAAAAAAAAAACTTGTGTTTTGCTTTTTTTTTTGTTTCAATCTTTATATAATTGTATGCGCATATTTTAGTTTAAAAAAGTATTTTTCTGTGAGAAGTGATGAAGTCCATCCTTCGCAGGTTTAAAACAGGCACTTAATTATAACTTTGGTTAATTGTTAATGTCGTTCGATTACTTAATTAAGTATGTGTAATTTTAAGCAAATTATCGTGTATGTCGTCGTTTTTTTTTAAAAAAAATAACATCTTAATGCAATGGAATGGTTTGTTTTCTATCTATTAAAAAAAAATGTAATTCGATATTGTGATTGGTTTATATTTTCAAATGTGAGTAGACAGTGGCAAAAGTAGCGTATGATTGATAAGTTTGTTCACATAGGTTTTGCTACATATCCAAGGCTACGTTAACCTTGATTTGTTGACTCATGTGAAGTGATAGGTGTTGACTCATGATTTACATAGATCAGATCTAATCGTGATTTAATCTTTGATACCTACGCAAGTTATTAAACTCAACGTTCCGACTAAATTTCGATTTTATTTCATTATTTTATGTGAATTTCTGATAATTTTTTTTTAAAAAAAAACATATCTTATCGCAGGGGTGATGATTCATCATTAGTCATATGATAATTTTAAAATGGTGCAATTGTTTTGTTCGATCCATTGTTCTAATTAAACTGAATATTTTAACTACTGTTAAAGTCTGTCATAAATATATAACTTACAGATAGTAACTAATATATATATATCGCGATGAAGACAGTAACAAAGACTAATAGACGTTGATTAAATGCCAAGAATATCATGATTGCTTGTCATTAACCATAACGACAGTTAGTAATAATTGACTTTAATTTTTCTTTAAAGGCTATTTAAATGTGTAAACTAACAACTAACATTTAATAAATTCCAACGTTTTTCAATCGATAAAGATGGCAAAATATTTCTTCTTTCTTAGATAAAAATTGTATTGATATATTATAGAAATTCTTGTAATAAATATCTTTTCTTACTATTTTACATGTATTTTCGACAATTGAAAATATCTGAATGAAAGAGATAGCCTGAAGGAATTAATAATCTCGGCATTATTGTAGTCATAGTAATAGAATGTCACTTATTTTAGATACTTTAGAGTTACTTTACGGATTTTCGGTTTCATATCTAAGGCTGTATTTAGATAGACAGGCTCTTCGTACGTTACGTTACGTCTGATCAATCAAAGAAGGGATTATTTAAGGCGTTAAGGCTTCTTTGATTGACCAGTCGTAACGTAACGCAGTTTAACCTATATTAATTCTGTCGTCTCTTAACGGGAAAACTATTACAAGACCTTAATTTTGCATTAAAGTATAAACATAGATAACTTTAAAATAGTTAAATGAAGAATTTGTGTAAAAAAAAAAGAAGACAAATGTAATTCTATAGACATTCTAAATCATATACTAAATCAAAAGCAAACATTATGAGATAGTGGAGGCAAAAAAAAAGTTCTTTATTGAATACAAATATTATTCTTTACAACACATAAATTGAAAAACGTGTGCTTATGTAAAAAAAATACCAAGAGAAATTAATCTAGAATATGTTGTCTTTAGATGATTGCTTGAAGACAATATAAATAAGTAAAGACAAGTAAAGTTCGATTTTCTTCATCCAATCACTGTTGAGTTATTTATATTTTAATAATTCTTATTTTACATCAGAGAGAATCGTAAATATTCATCATTTGATTTTATTACATCATCTTTCAAGGTTATTAAGTTTATTTATGGTTG